TAATTATTGACTAGGTTGAAAGTTTAAAATATTACCTCGGTAACTAATGGGAAAGTTAACCTCAAGAACAAACGAGAACAAACAGATATGGACTGGCAGATTCGATGTCTTTTCTTCTACGATTTCTGAATCTATTATATAAATTCTTCTAGAATGACGCATAGTAGACTTTGCAGAAAAAACAATTTGAGTTAAAACAAACTAAAGCAGGAATATCACAAGGATGTGTCCTTGTATCTATTATTTACCTGAAATGATTATTGCTGACACTGACACTACTAATTTAGCAATAGGGACAAATGGTGATGAAGCTATTGCAGAACTAAAGCTAATGTGACGCGGAGCCAACCCTGTCTAGCAAGCGACCTTCAAGCCTAAGGTAGAGAATAATTTACATTCGGTCAATGTGTCCAAGGTATCGTGGATATGAGGCAGGGGGTAACTGTCTTTCTTGGTAACATTATTCAACTGACGGTAATTCACACAGAACCTTTCTAGACCAGGACTACCGGAGAGATACATGGGCTGGTAGAAGGTTCTATCACCCTATCTTCCTTCATTTCCTGAGCAATTCCTTCAGCTTACTCTCTCTTGGCCTTTGGTAATCTTCGAGCTGATTGACGAATCGACCTGGCGTCACCAGTGTCAATTTTGTGTTGTTTACTACAGAAGTTCTTCCTGTTTTTCCTCCTTTTGGTACAAAAAAAGTCACGATATCGTCGAAGAAATTTCTTTTTCTCTAATTAATTCAAAGATTGACCGGCAACTGCAATCATTTCCTCAAATTTGTCGTTGGAGTTATCAAAAGTTGTTGTCTGACGAATTATGGAAGTTACTGTTACACAAGTTTCGATTCTGGTCTCTTTCTTGATGGTAATTGGGTGATCATTAACGTTTATAAGGCGAAATGGAATCTCTTTAACAGTCGTGACCAACCCCTTTCCGATCAGAATTCCTCGTCCAACCTCTTCATCGTGGTTCCAAGGTTCCATCATGACAGGTGTTCCTTCTTCCATAGTTTCTTGAAGCGCTACTATAACGGTTTCACTTCTGCCAGGTACCACCGTATCTTCCTGTACAGCAACTGGCACGGTACTGTCCCCATATGGATGTAGGAATACCTATACGGCACCATCTTTGATCACTCTGTTCTTAAAGTCCAAATGGAAACCATGTATGTTCATTAAATCCATTCCAAGAATAACATCTTCTTCGATATCAGCGACAATAACAGTATGAATGAACTTTTCTGTACCAATTCCCAATTGAACCTGGATTTCCCCATGGATGTTGACAACCTGTAGCAGTCCGCAGTCGCAATCTTGTTGGCTGAAGTCTCTTACGATTATTTATGGTTATTGGTCGTATAAGAGGCTATCAGTATGAGAGGGTCTTTGAAACCGTTTCGGGTCAAAGCTGCCCCCTCTCGGCCGACCCGCTCTAGTTTTCCCGCAGCGTGTTGTCTTAAGTTTTTGGGACCCTAGGGCGTTCGCACGAACTGCACATGTCTCAGTTCACCGCAATTCCAGCACCTGTCCAGTCTTTGTCTTTATCTTTTTTATCAGTAAAGCTCTTCATTATGTTAACTAGTTGGTCGAGTTTATCTTCTACGTTTTCTTCTTTTACAGTTCTCACTTTACTGTTTCCTCCAGAAGCCTGCGTACCTGCCTTATACTCTAAAGCAGCGGACAAGACATCGACCAATGTTTTGTGGCGGGCTAACGCCCGTATGCACCGTACACGTTTAATCCAGATTAAGGGTTTAATCACGTTTAGTACCAGTTTTAGCTATGCACCGTAATAAAAATCATTCTTAATCCGATTTTATTCTAATCCGTCAATATCGGAGGATCAAATTGTTAATCGAGATTTTCTTACGTCAAAAAGATGTCAACGGTTTGTCAGTATATTTGGAACTGTCTATTTGCGTTTATTTATTTTATTTGAATTTTAATAAAAAACAAATAGAATACCAGCTTTTCTTGGAAGATGACAAAGATTCTAGACAAAATTACGAGAGAAGTGAATATGTTTATACGATGGGCAACTTTGTCATTTTTGAGAGATTTTTTACATTCTAACGTTACATCATAATTCTGTAGTTAGATGGCAAACCCAGATATGTTGAAAAAGGTAAAAATAAGTAAGCAATACATATAATATTTATGTGATTTTGTCCACTTTTAAATACTGATATGTTAAATCCATATAGTTTTGAACATGCACAGTGTAGGGAAAGTATTCATATAGGTATATCGTTCTGCATAGAAAAGCTTGAAATAAAGCACTTTGTGTGTATATATGTTAAAATTACCAAAAATGAACTTAATGGTTTTGCCATCCAACTATAGAATTATTTTTTTTAAATTCATTTGACATTCTTTTTCACCTTGTGTAAAATTCGGTATGCGTTTTACGGTGTGTTTACGATTTTGGTACATTTAAAAAATAGGACTTCTATCTTCTACGGCCTCTTATCCTTTGACATACATTTCTCCTGTCCAAATCTGAAGTTTTCTTCTTCTGATTTTTGTAAAATTTATAGAAATCCAGTGTTGTCAGATTACTAAACTAGATTATCTAATCCGTAGCCGGTGCATAGAAAATAACCACTAGTCCTTTAAACGAGATCTGCAAATCTGGATTAAATTTTAAAACGGTGCATATGGGCGTAAGCGGATTGTTTTCTGCATCTCGTGGTCACGGAGTCCATCAACAAATGTTTGGACTGCTAAACATTCCATCATGTTTTCCGGAGCTGATAGGGTAGGGTAGGCAAATCGCACCAACCTGGGAATATCTACTTCATATTCTTGAAGGGTCTCGTCTCGTTTCTGTTCTGAGATTCTTTAACTGTGATTGGTATAGATACTTCAAATGTTCGTGGCTATATCGCATATTTAGTTAGTTTTTAACCGACTTCAAAAAAGAAGGAGGTTCTCAATTCGTCGCGATATTTTTTTTTATGTATGTTCATCGATTATTCTTCAACACCTTGTCCCATTTATATGATTCTTTTTTTGTTAGTAAGGGGGTATCTCAGGGGTGGTCTTATATAAATTTGGTTAAGATGTGGTGATGGCATCTGCACGTTTTTGAAGTCGGTTTTTTTAAATTTTTAGTTTCTAATACTTGTTGAGTTGCTCGGGTATAGTCTGAAGAATATTTAAACGTCTCCTTGAAGGGCGATTGTCAAATTTACTGCCTTTTCTCTCTTAGACCATTCGTTTGCTCTCGCAGCTGTCTCGAACTATTTAAGGTAGTTTGTCCATGATATCTTTCAGTCGAAAGTTGGGGCTTTCACACGAGGAAAATTTACAGTTCCTTCCAATTTCAACTTTGACTCCACCTTATGGCACTTTATAAATCACCCAGTTTTTTAGCCATTATTGTCCATTATTTATCTACAATCCACTTCTAACACCAATGTGATAGTAGTTTTATTTATTTAAAACACACTATTTACAATTTATTTATGACGTACTAATTAATTTATATAATATTTATGCACTACTTATGACTCACAATTCTAATTTATTTATTACAATTCAACTTTTCCGTCCAACACTTTATTCGAATCTGCCCGTTCGTCGATAAGTCTCGCTATTTATACCAAACCCAACTATGTACGAGAAGTTTCCAGACGATGTGGAATGTCCTAGAGTTCCATCTTTATGACTCAACGGCACGTACCGCTTGTTCTGGTAGTTTTTCTAGAAGCGGTGCGTTTGTCTCTATACGTCAGTGGTGTTTCGATCATAAGTCGGGTGACAGGCTTGAAAGGTGGACTGCGCGCCCACTAATAACAAATTTAGCAGACGAACATTGTTTACGACTTATTATTATAATCACCATCATCATCACCACATAAAATGTATTTAAATGTTAAGAATCTGATACCGTTTCTTTTAAGTTTTTATTTGTATCTGAAAAATAGGAAAGTTAAAATCAATTTCTATGATTATATTTATCTTGTAAGTATTTAGATTACAGAGCAGCACCCACCGCTGCAGTTGCGTAGTAAAAATTAATCCGGAGCTACGATTAGTTCACCGGAGAACATATTATTTAAGTTTTCAACGCAAAGTGGAAGTTGGATTATACAAAATAAGACGAAATAGAGTAATAATGAAAACAATTTGCAATAGACTTTCAAGATTAAAATTATATATAAAACGTGAGAGCCTATTTCTTATAACTGTATACCGATGTTTTATAAGAAACTACCTACTTTGTTGAATAATAACTCCTTAATTATATGCATGATGTAGATATTATATTATATAAACTATATATCAACCGTAGTGGACGTAATCCATAATGATACAAATAGTTGAAAAACGTTATAAACATATATATAAAGTCTCCTTTTACTTTTCCTTAGATTTTATTTGATTTTGTACAATGTCCAACTGAATATCTTTGATCTAACATATTCCCCAATCACTTTTGTTTATATACTTTTTTTGTTCTATTCTAAAGGATGTTCAAATTTGACTCCTATAGTGACAGATGTCAAGTAAAAACTTTGTGATGAGTTGTGGTTTGGTCATTGTGGAACGATTGTCTATCGAAAAATCATTGAGATGGAACATTGAGATAAAATAAAGAGGAGATGCTATGACGATGCTAAATTGTTCGCACCTTGCAATACATCAATGTCCAACTCAAGACAGTGTAGCTAGTTAGTTTTGGTGAGAATAAATGCCATTTTTATTTAAATAGCTTCATTTAAATGATATAAAATCATTTTCATTGCTTCAGTTTTCAAATATAAAATTATTGGCTTCAAATAAATCAAAGTACGACTCAAGTCGCCGTTTTCATTACACTTTTCCGTCACTTGAATGCGAAAAACGCATTTTTATTGTGAAAACGTACTACCCAAAAAAAATGGTGGTAAAAGGAAGGCCGAGTTTTGCCACACGATTCTAATATTGTAGAATCAGTATTTCTGGCATTTAAAGCATCTGATAGACTGCCGTGATTCTTGATAATACACGCGTTCATTTGTTAGCAGAGTAGCTCTATTTTTAGCAGAGACTTCGACGACCCAATGATTAAAGTGCTGGCCTTTTGGCCCGAATTTGTGTTTGATGGTTAGTTTGTCCTGGTCTAGTTCAAGTTCATTCAATACGCCTTCTTTCAGGTCCTCCGCTTCGAATTCAACAGGGACGCCAAAAATTGCCAATCTTAGTTGGAATTTGCCAACTATTTTAAAATCCAAACCAGCTTTGTTTAATGCTAGTTTACTAACTTTATCTTCGTCGATATCTTTTACAGTAATCATTATGCCATTTTTTCCAAAGTTTGTAACTCTCTCAGATTTTAAACCAAGATTTTTTGGTTTAAGCTATTTCATGATTTGCTTTTTGGTGTTTTCGTAATTTTTTCAGTGGGCCTTTAGGGTCTCTTGGCGTAAGGATTATTGCCTTGTTAACGTTAGGTGTAACCTTCTTGTTCGCCGTTATTTGGACTTTTGTTGTTGTAGACTTAATCTTGTCTGCGTACGAGGTGCCAGCAGTTTGTATTTGTCTGCTAGGTTACTAATACTTTTGTTTATTAGTTCATTGCCATCTATTGATCCAAATAGAACGCTTAGTTGTGAGAAGATTGCGCTCATTTCTTCAATGCATCGTGTTATCTTACTTTTCTTGTTTAGAGAGTCTTTGAGACTCATGGCGCTAGTCATTGCCTGTATTCTTACTTTGGAGGATAAATTCACAATTTCGAGTATGTTTTCCATGCGAGGTCCGCCCACGAATCGGACCTGCTCCTCAGCATCCGTTAGATCGGAGTTTTGTTCCAGAGGTATGTCTCCTGGTTCCGACATGTTTTGCACTACACTTTGAGTCCTATCTTTATTTAAGCCCGACGCGCCTCGCGAGATTAACCCCCCTGAAGGGGGGTTGAATCGTTTTAGCCGTAGGCAGAAACTCTGTTGGGTGCTTACACTCGAGTTGCAGAATTCGAGTTTCGACCTTTCCAACTTCGCCACAAGGAGGCGGGACCACTAGACTTCCGTGAAGAATTGACCAGCAATTCAAACATTTTTATTTAGTCCTGTTTGTCTTATTCTTTGTCACACTTTTCACTTTCACTTTTGAATGCAACCGCTGGTCGAAGGCGAAAGATTTATTGGCTATGAAGAGAAACCAGAGTGAAAACGTACTACCCAAATGGAGTGTTTGCTTTAACTGCAATAAGATGTCTTAGGAATGTGGCATCATATGTTAAAGTTTAAAAAATCACCCAAACAGTATGATATTTCGAAAAAATGGCTGCTTGTTTCCTCGGGAAAATAGCTCATTTAACGCTATTTTGACTAATATGGCCCAAAATTCTTTAAACAGAACACGGTTGATCTTCAACACATGTCAAAATTTAGTGATGTTAAAGCAAAAAGAGAAATACTGATTAAATAAAAAATTGAAACATTTTCCAGGAAATTTTAAACAATTTGAAATAAACACAGAAAATAAATATAACCAAGAGATATAAAAAAGAAAACTGAAAGCCATCTATCATGCCCTATAAAATTATACGATGTTTTCCTTTAGATATTATCCAACGCATGTATTCCAACTGATAATGAATTATTGTAGACATCTAGAAAAAGTACATTATATGTTTATATTATTGACAAATTGAATTAAGTTTTGAAAAGCACTAGTTATATTTTGAGGAACTTTTCTAAATAATATGGTCATATCATATCAATTTTGTTAGTGCGCTACTGACTCTTGGACATTTTTTCTTTACGAATCGCATTAGTTACGATTTATTAATAAAATGAAAACTGCTGATTCACGTTGAAAAGTTAATTGAAGTTAAACAGCCAAAATTGCCGTTTATAATTATACTAAATTTATTTCATACTCCATATACAAGATGTCCCGAAATTAGACGGTCATATTATAACAGCGTAATCCACATCCTAAAATAAAAGTAAAAATTCATATAAACATAGGTCCGAAAACGTTCCGTTTTCGAGATACAGGGTGTTACAAGTGAAGTCCAAATGACACATTTTTGTAGATATTTACTAAACTTTTAAAGATAACTAAGTGAAATTTGGTTCAACTTTGGCTAAACTTTTTCATAGGTGAGTAAATTAGGGTAGGGGCTTAGGGTTGAATTGTCCTAAGTTTTTTTGTTGACTGTTTTAACATTTTTGACTACAAAATTTGGAAAACCAATATTTTTTTTATAATAAAGCTACTTTTGTTGTATCAATTAGGACGCACCATTTTCAAGAGAAAAACATTTGAAAATTTCATGATGAGTTCATGTTATCTTATTCGAAAGTTTAAACAATAATTTAAAAAAAAAAAACGAAAATAAATCAAACTCAAATGTGATAGACGAAGAATAAAATGAATTCAACTCAAAGCCAATATCACATAAAATACCAACGACCATTTCCCCTTCAGAAAACAACTACTCCTTTGGCTAATATCGCAACAGGTATTAAAATATATCCGAGCAGAGATAGAAATTAAATTTCAACACTCTCTGCCTTTGATTTTGCTCACCAAGGAGAACATCATTCTTGGACCGGTTTCGCTTTTATTAGGACTCTTCAGCAAGAAATAGCTGTCTTTCCTTCAGATATAATTCAATACCTGTTGCGGTATTAGCCAAAGGAGTAGTTGTTTTCTGAAGGGGAAATGGTCGTTGGTATTTTATGTGATATTGGCTTTGAGTTTAATTCATTTTATTCTTCGTCTATCACATTTGAGTTTGATTTATTTTCGTTTTTATAAATTGCCCGCCTGGCCTTTTTGGTTCCACCTAGTTTTCTAACTGGGTACTACAGCGCACTTTGATTTTGCTTACTAAGAACAGATGGCGACACCATTTCACTACTTTATTGTATACTGGTGAAATGTGTAGCATTTGTTTATTCCATTGGAGACTGGAATTGAGAACATATCTATTTCTTGCTGAAGAGTCCTAATAAGGACGAAACCGGTCCAAGAATGATGTTCTCCTTGGTGAGCAAAATCAAAGGTAGATAGTGTTGAAATTTAATTTCTATCTCTGCTGTCTTTCCTTCGGATATAATTCAATACCTGTTGCGGTATTAGCCAAAGGAGTAGTTGTTTTCTGAAGGGGAAATGGTCGTTGGTATTTTATGTGATATTGGCTTTGAGTTTAATTTATTTTAATAATTTTTAGGCCTGTGGAATCAGAAATTTTATTTTGTTTATCCTTGGAAAACCGGTGACGAAAGAAATTTTAGACAATATTTACACAAATGTGCCATCAGGACTTCACTTGTAACACCCTGTAACTTCTATTTTAGGATGTAGATTATGCTGTTAAAATTTGACCGTTTAATTTCGGGACACCCTGTATACAGGTAGAGTCGAAATTATTTATTTCTATTTCATATTGTTTTAAAGATTTTCGAATAAAATTTTTATACTTTTTTTTTGTTTTAGGTAAGTCTTCATGATTGAAAAATATTACTGTCATCTAGTAAGTACCTATTTTTTATTTGATCATCTACTAAATGCGTGGTTATGTTGAATTAATGTAACAAATTTATATTTGATAATTGTTTTATCAACTTTTGTAATTATTATTGCTTTATTTCCATACTATTTATTTAACTATTTAGTAGTATTAAACTGAATAAATTTTCAAAATATCCTAAATATTACCGATAATATAAATCACAAGTGATAGACATTGTTTAATCGAGTGTTTATTTAGTGTTTATTTAATTTTTTGCTGTTAATAATAGTTGTATTATGACGAAAATTATGAAATAATAATTTATTTAATAATGTTAAGGAATCTAAAAATAAATGATTTTCGTCCAGTGAAATAATATAGTTTTTCTATCAAATAAAATACATTTTTGCAACCGAACTAAGCTTAGTTATTTACTGATTCGTTTTCTTTTAAATTGTGTAAAATAATAGTTATTTACCTTTTAAAATGTTTTTTTTTTAAGTAATTCATAATGATTATCCATCGGATTTTCTATTTATGTAATTCAAATAACTCCAATAACATTGCGTATTTATCTTCTAAATAATATTATGTCTGCATTTGATATTTCGTGGCAAAGAAATATACAGTACTTATTATTTCGTATTAGGCATAGCCGTGCTTTCACAGCAAACATATGGCAACTACGATATCCGCGCTATCGCGATGCTCTCTAGCTTTGTGACTGATATTATGTTCGACTAATATCCCACTACCGTTGCCATTGCCCAGCTGAATCATAAAAGACACTGCATTAACAAAAAGGTACCTCTAATAATTTTGCGTATGACAGTGTTTCAGAATAAGAAAGATTTTTATAATTCATAAATATCAATTTAAAATAATTACCCATAAGTATCTTAATTTAGATAATTTTTGTTTAAAATGTAAAAATAATGTAATTGATTATTTTTGGAGAAGTTTAATTTGGTTTAGATTATAATGAACATTTTGAGTTAATGGGCAGCCTGAGGTAAGTATTCTTTTATAACTAAAAAATTTAACATGTTTAAATGACTTTGCTAGATACAGCCGCCCTCATTCCTTGCCCTGAGGGCATAATTAAGGGATTTAGGTTGTTTTTAGTCGGTAATTGTAAGTAAAATAAGCTTCGTCCCCTGAAAGAGCTAGTAAAAAACAGGGTTGTCATTGGTAGTTGGTGGTCCTGTATGCAGTCTGTCATTTTTTGTCCTAATTCACTGGAAAAGTGGGCTATGAACCCATGGAGAGAGCCACAACCAAGAATGTAAGGGGCCCTGGCGATCGGCTCACATAAATTTCCAGTCCATGTAAATTATTGTTTAGTTTGTGTTTGTTTTCTTCTACATCTCAGTACAATTAGAAATCAGTCATAATAATTTTGAAGTTGATGAATTTTTAAAAATGCATTATTACCCAAAACCGAAGACTTTACAAAGTTGTAAAAGATGTTTAACTTTCCTATATACGATCGATTTTTAGCAATTAAAAGACAATAGTTTTACTTACTAGTTGCTAACAATGTAGTTTAGATGAATCAACTTGAATTTGAGGCGTTTAAATATATTTAAAGATATAATTTACCAGTGAAAGATATTTTTTACTGAATATATTATTAATTATATCATCAGGAGAGACATATTAGTTTATACAGAACTTTCTAACATTTTTTTAAACTCTTATATATTGTTTCTTTGTTTTTTTTTTTCTAACAATCAACCCCTGTAACATAACAAAATACTATCTCAATCGGACATAAATAATTCGTAAGCTGTCTCTACGATAAGAGACCAAAATCGGTAATGAAAA